TCCTTTCCTTTTTCCTTTCCTTTTTCCTTTCCTTTTTCCTTTCCTTTTTCCTTTCCTTTTTCCTTTCCTTTTTCCTTTCCTTTTTCCTTTCCTTTCTTTCTTTCCTTTCTTTCTTTCCTTTCTTTCTTTCCTTCCTTCCTTCCTTTCCTGGAAATCACCTTCTAAGAGTATGCATTTCTAGTAAATATATTCTTTTATAAAACAAAGTCAGCCTTTGTGCATCTCCAATAAATAAGACATTCTCTTATGTAGTAAAATTGGCAGTAATCCCCTGATATATATTCATCCATATTCACATTTCTTCAACTGTTTCCAAAATGTTTTTTATAGCTTTTTTTAAAAAATCACGATCCAATATAGGATTGCATATTGTATCTGGTGGTTATTACTCTTTAGTCTCCCCTGATCTAGAATAATTGACAATTATCCTTCCCCCACAACGAGCTTGACTTTAAAGAGGCCAAACCATTTGTCTTGAGAATGTTCCATATTCTGGATTTACCTGGTGCCATTTAGCTTGTTCCTTCCTCTATCTCCTAAATTTTTGGAGGCTAAGCATTTCTGACAATAATACTTCCTAAGTTAAGCTTAGAAAGATGTGTTAGTTGATGTTATTGTCAACATTTAGTTCCCTGTCCCCTTGTCTCTCTTTTCCCCTCCACCTTAGTCTTCTCTTCTTTTTCTTCCCTGTCTTCTTCTCATGTTCTCTTCCTCTTTACCTTTTGTTCTGCCTTCCATACTTCCTTTGGATATAGTCCATTTTTCCTCTTTCTTTCCTGAAATTGAAGGCAGAGATAGAGCTGGGGCATAGAGAATCCAAGAACTGTCAGGTGAGAAATGGAAATAAGGAGTAGAGCAGCCATGTTGTTCTTTAGCCCATATATATATATATACTATTGTGTCCATCTCTGGATTTTTAATTTGATTTCAAATATTCTATTTGAGTAAACTTTTTTTTTTTTTATGAGACAGAGTCTCACTCTGTTGCCCGGGCTAGAGTGCCGTGGCGTCAGCCTAGCTCATAGCAACCTCAAACTCCTGGGCTCAGGTGATCTGTCTGCCTCAGCTTCCAGAGTAGCTGGGATTGCAGGCATGCACCACCATGCCCAGCTAATTTTTTAAAATATTTTTAGTTGGCCAGTTAATTTCTTTCTGTTTTTAGTAGAGACGGGGTCTCACTCTTGGTCAGGCTGGTTTTGAACTCCTGACCTTGAGCGATCCACCCTCCTCGGCCTCCCAGAGTGCTAGGATTACAAGTGTGAGCCACGGCACCCAGCCCTGAGTAAACTTTTTAATGAGGGTGCGTATATGGTTCATTTGGGTATATCTATATCACTTTTAAGTATGTTTTTAAGCATAAAAAGTGTTACTAGAAATGTTCAATTTTACCAAGTGGTGGGTAGGAAGGGAGGCAAGGAATAGAAGGTAAAGTAGGTCCAGACCTTTTCTTTCCTCCTTTGATGGTATCTGACCGGCCTGTGTGCCACTGGAATTGTGGGATAGCACGGCTCTTGTTTTATGAATCTTGTCTCCTTTCTTCTCAGAGACCATGTGAAAGCAATGGAAGAAAGAAAATTACTTCATAGTTTTTTGGCTCCGTCACAGAAAGCACTGTCACCCAGGAGAATGAAGGACAGTTATATCGAAGTTCTCTTGCCTTTGGGCAGTGAGCCTGAATTACGAGAGAATTATTTGACTGTTCAAAACACAGTAAGGTAACACAGTGCTATTTTTATTTATTTATTTGTTTTTGTTTTATTTCCTTTTTTATAACAACTTTAAGATATAATTCATACCATACAATTAACCTATTTAAAGTATACAGTTCCATGGCTTTTAGCATATTCAGAGAGTTGTGCAACCATCACCATAATCAATTTTAGAACATATTTATCACCCTGAAGCATGTTATTTATTTTTAAATGGAGATCATGATTTTCATTCAATTCACAGTTTGCTTTATTTCACAGATTTGGCAGGATTCTTGAGGATCTTGACAGCTTAGGAGGTACTCGTATTATTTCTTATAGATATATATTGAATTTTATGACTGAAAAAGGCTTTTTTATTCTTTAACCTGCACAGATGAGGATATTCTAAAAGCACAGGAAAAGAAGGGTATCTACCACTTCTGAACTGTCATAATTTTTTCCTATAAATGTAGTTTCCTATTTAATGGAGTTATAATCTGAATAATCCTTCTTTCTAATAGCTTTTTTTTTTTTTTTTTGAGACAGAGTCTGGCTTTGTTGCCCAGGCTAGAGTGAGTGCCATGGCGTTGGCCTAGCTCACAGCAACCTCAAACTCCTGGGCTCAGGCGATCCTCCTGCCTCAGCCTCCCAAGTAGCTGGGACTACAGGCATGCACCACCATGCCCGGCTGATTTTTTCTATGTATATATTTGTTGGCCAATTAATTTCTTTCTATTTATAGTAGAGACGGGGCTCGCTCTTGCTCAGGCTGGTTTCGAACTCCTGACCTTGAGCAATCCGCCCGCCTCGGCCTCCCAGAGTGCTAGGATTACAGGCGTGAGCCACCGCGCCCGGCCTCTAATAGCTTTTTAAAAAGAATCTTAAGCTTACAGAAAAGTTGCAAATGCGATATAATTGTTCTTCCCTGAATCATGTGAGAATAAATTGCTGACACGATGCTGTATCACCCCTAAATAGTTTAACATGTATTTCCTACAAACAAGGATATTCTCCTACATAGCCATAAGACAACCATCAAAATCAGGAAATTAACACATACGTTATACTGTCTAATCCTCAGGCCCAGTTCAACTTTTGCTAATGGTCCTTTGTAGCAGAAGGATCTAGTTTTGAATTACATGTTGCATTTAGTTGTCGTGAAAGGTATATTTCCTGAGTCTTTCCTTGGCTTTCATGATCTTGACACTTTTGAAGGTTACAGGCCAGTTCTTTTGTGGACTATCCCTCAATTTGGATTTGTCTGTTGGTTTCTCATGATTAGCTTCGGAATATGCATCTTTGGCAGGAATGTCACAGAAGGGATGTTCTGTTCTTACTGCACCTTATCAAGTGGTGCATGATTTTGATTTGTCCCATTACTGATGACATAAACTTTGATTACTTGATGAAGTCTGCCAGTCGTCTTCACTGTAAAGTTACTCATTTCCCCTTTGCAATTAATAAGTACCTTGTAGGAAGCCGGGTATGATGGCTCATGCCTGAGGCCAAGGTGGGAGGATCACTTGAGGCTAGAAGTTCAAGACTAGCCTGGGCAACATAGTGATACCTCATCGCTACAAAAAAATTAAAAATTAGCTGAGTGTGGTGGTGTGTGCCTGTAGTCCCAGCTACTTGGAATGCTGAGGCAGGAGGATTGCTTGAACCCAAGGGTTTGAGGTTGCTGTGAGGTAGGATGATGCCACTGCACTGTATAGCCCAGGCAACAGAGCAAGACTCTGTCTCAAAAAAAAAAAAAAAGTACTTTGTAGGGAAATACTTTAAGACCTTATAAATATCCCATTCCTTATCAGACTTTCAGTTTATTATTTTAAAATCAGTATAGACTCAGGAATTCCTATTTTATTGAATGGGTTATAACAGCAGTCTCCAACCGTTTTGGCACCAGGGACCGATTTCATAGAAGATAATTTTTCCACAGACCAGGGTGGGGGGATGGTTTCAGGATGACTCAAGAACATTACATTTATTGTGCACTTTATTTGCATTATTACATTGTAATATATAATGAAATAATTATACAACTCACCATAATGCAGAATCAAATGCCACTGCTAATCTGACAGGAGGCAGAGCTCAGGTGGTGATGCTAGTGATGGGGAGCAGCTGTAAATACGGATGAAGCTTTGCTCACTTGCCTGCTGCTGACCTATTATGTGGTGGCCAGGTTCTTAGTAACAGTCCTTGGCCTGGGGCTTGGGGACCTCAGGGTTATAATATGTTACTATCATCTTTTATTCCTAAAAAAATAATTACACTGCTAATCTTCTCTGTATCATTCCAGTTTTAGTATGTGTACTGCCAAAGTGAGCACTACTATCTTGAAGCTCAAATCATCCTAGGACTGTCCCAGTCCCTTCAGATTAGCTTCTGTGTTTTTTTCTGATGTGTCCCCATTATTCTTTGAGCACTTCCTCACTTTCTGGCACAATAAGGCTCATCTTGTACTTTCCCTGCCCCAGTCCTAGAATCAGCCAAATCTGTAAGGGGTCCCAGTTTATTGTAATGGAGAATGATATTTAGAAACCTAGATCTGTGTATTGGGAGTGGTCATTGCTACTGGGTGTCACTGCTCCCATGCCCTCTCAGTGGATGAGCTAGGAAATATATGTGCATACATAAACATCTGTGTTTATTTCTGAATCTATGTATATATGAAAACCATGGGTTCACACTGATACCTAAAGTTACAGTTCAATACCACAGGGTTCATTCTTATTTCCTCCCTTAATTCCCTTCTCCAACTGGCTCCATTATCCTTAATAGATTTGTATATTGGATCAGTTCCCCTGTATGGAACGAGTTTCCTATAACTGCCACTCCTAACCCCTCATGGATTCTCTCGTCATCTCACTTGGGCTCTGATACCCCACACTAGGTCCCCCTCTGCAGGGTCACTCTACTCATTGTGCTCAGGCTGTGACATGCTGGGCCATCACTCTTGTCATGCCTCTGCATGGATGTCCTCTTCACTCTACTTGGACTCTAACACCCCATGCCAGGCCATTCTGCCATGCAGATACCCTCTTCACCCTGCTTAAGTTGCAACACCCTACCATGGCTACCTTGCCTATTCCTACCTGATGACTTTTGGACTGAACTGTTGGGAAAAGGTCTGAGGAAAGGCTCTAATAACTGTTGTCTTTGAGACAGGATCTCATACTTTTGCCTGGGCTAGAGTGAGAGTGCAGTGGTGTCATCATAGTTCACATAGTTCTATGTTTTTTTTTTTTTGGTACATCTGGAAGTCTTGTTATGTTGCTCAGTCTGGTCTCAAACTCTTGGCCTTAAGCAATCCTCAATCCTCCTGCCTCAGCCTCACAAAGTGCTAGGATTATAGGCATGAGCCACTGTGCCCAGTATAATAATTTTTTTTTTTTTTTTTTGACAGAGTCTCGCTTTGTTGCCCAGGCTAGAGTGAGTGCCGTGGCGTCAGCCTAGCTCACAGCAACCTCAAACTCCTGGGCTCGAGCGATCCTTCTGCCTCAGCCTCCCAAGTAGCTGGGACTACAGGCATGAGCCACCATGCCCGGCTAATTTTTTTTTATATATATATCAGTTGGCCAATTAATTTCTTTCTATTTATAGTAGAGACGGGGTCTCGCTCTTGCTCAGGCTGGTTTTGAACTCCTGACCTTGAGCAATCCGCCCGCCTCGGCCTCCCAAGAGCTAGGATTACAGGCGTGAGCCACCGCGCCCGGCCATAATTTTTAAAATATGATATCAGCCTTTTGTTAGGCTTATACCTAGCTACTTTTTTCTCCAGATTAAATAAACCCAGTGAAAAATTCTTATTGGCCTTTGAAAAATCACACAACACACACACACACACACACACACACACACACCCCTCCCCTGCCACTACCCTTTTTTTTCCTCATTACCTCCTGTTTCTGGCCAGTCTTTTTCACCTGTTCACTTGATTCTATCCTTCCATTTCTTTAGTGAAGTGCCTTATCACTTCTCCCTCATATCCTGAGCCTTTTTTCAGTTTCACTTTGCCCTCAAGTTAGAAACATATTCAAGGTTTTTCCATCTTAAAATGAAAAACAGATAAAATCTTCTTTCCTTACAACATTCTTAAACTGTCTTTCTTCCTCATTTCCTAGCTAACTTTCAGAAGAGAATTGGAAAAATCATTTGCTCTCATTGCTTCTATATCCTGCCATCCTGTTATTTGACAGTCTGCTGTGTTCTGGCTTCTGCTGCTCCCTGCCATTGAAACTGCTTTAGTTTATTGAGATAGAGTATCACTTTGTTGCCTGGGCTAGAGTGCTGTAGCGTCAGTCTACTTCACAGCCACCTCCAACTCCTGGGCTCAAATGATCCTCCTGCCTCAGCCTCCCGAGTAGCTGGGACTACAGTCACTCGCCACCATGCCTGGCTAATTTGTTATATATATATTTTTAGCTGTCCAAGTAATTTCTTTCTATTTTTAGTAGAGATGAGGTCTCACTCTTGCTTAGGCTGGTCTCAAACTCCTGAGCTCAAGCGATCCACCTGCCTCGGCCTCCCAGAGTGCTAGGATTACAGATGTGAGCCACTGTGCCCGGCCCTGAAAGTGCTTTTACCTGGCTCACCATTGGCCCCTTTATTGCACAGTCTAGTGGATACTTATCAGGGCTTACCTGACCTCTTTGTGGCTTCTAATATTATCAAACTCATCCTTGGGCTTTGGTGACATTTCTTCCTGCCTCTCTGGCAGGTCCTTCCCAGTCTCCTTTTGTAGGGTCCTTTTTCTCTATTGATTCCTTAAATGTCAGTTATCTGTAAGGTTTTGTCTTCTGCTCTTTTTTTTGGTTAACTTTGCAGATTCTCTATAAAATAATCTCATCTACTCCCAGTGCTCTAGTTACTTGTGAAGCTACGTTTCCTGGCATGCTTGCTTTTCTGAGTTACAATCAGTTTGTGCTCCTGCCTACTGGATATCTTCATTTGGATATTCCATAGGCTTCTCAAATTGAACATGTTGAAAACGGCCCATTCTGTCCTTCATATATCCTGTTTTTCAATGATCAATACACCCTTCTCACTCATCCAAGCTAGAAACCTGGGTTTATTCAAGTTTTGTCAAGTCTGCCTTCTTAGCTCTTGAATCTTTTCTCTGTATTTCTATTGCTATTGCCATAGGTCAGACCCATCTGATTTCTGAACAACACAAAGGCTTTTAAATAGAGTTTGTTGCCTTTAGCCTCTCATTCCCCCAGTATACGTATCTCTTAGCAGGTGCATGGATGGAAGGATTTACTATCATTTAAGAAATATTTGTTGAGCCATATACCATATCCTGAGGGTTGGTGATACAAATTTGAATGGATCATGGGGGAAGCAGGGAGGCTAATAAACATATAATTATTATACAACTTTAAATGAGTTGATATTTGTAAGGTATATTGAACAATGCTAGGCACATATAAATGCTTGTTGAAATATGGGATGTATACAGATAACCACAGGGTGGTGTAGGAACTGAGGGGGTGTTACGAGGAAGCAGGGATTACTGAGTGAAATAATTGCTTCATGATTAGGAAAGAGTTTGGAGGAGAACAGGTAGCTGAGTCCTTGTTATTTGTTTCTCTTTTCTGAAGATGTTTGTTTGATACTGTCAAGAGTCGTGTGCTAGGTTCTTATTCTCATTTAGGCACTGTGTATTTGTGGGGTGATTACAAGCCACTCGGTGGGCCTGGGCTTTGGGCTTTGGTTTCCTTACAAATTTAAAATTGAGGGGGCAGTCAGATTAGAAGATCGCTAAATACCTTCAATTTATAAGTCTTTGTTCTTAGGATAAGATCATTAGTGGAATATCGGGGTTGACTCTTCAAAACAAGATAAGCCTTTTTTTTATGGATTTCAGGGAGTAAATTGTAAATGTTGAGAAATAATTTTGCTTTTTCCTTATTTGGTACTTTCTTCTTTTCCTACAGTTCTTATTTGCTACATGCACACCAAAATTAATTCAACTAAGACATCTCCTTTATCGATAGTTACAGCCCTAGTGGACAAGATTGGTAAGTGATATATATCATTTTCTATGCCTACTTAGAATTCTTAGTAGTTACAATGTATTTTTGAGATTATAGGAATATTCTCCTTTTATGGGGAATTTTAAGGAATATATGTATATGAAAATGTCTAGAGTGCTATATACCAAGACATTTATTATAATTAGGTAGAAGGGTTTTGCATGATTCCAGTTTTATTTTTATATTCTTTGCATTGTCCACATTTTTCAAAAAGACATAGATTTCTTCTGCATGTCAAAAAAGTTATTTTAGTTTTGAAGAAATAAATGTAGTGGAATTTGCCATAATTTCAAATGAAATTGTCCATTTACAGTACAGAACATTTTTGGTATGATTTGGACCCTGGTTTATTTTCTCTTTTGCAGATATGTGTAAGAAAAGCTTAAGCCCAGAACAGGACATTAAGTTCAGTGGCCATGTTAGCTGGGTTGGAAAGACATCCATGGAAGTGAAGATGCAGATGTTCCAGGTATATATGTGCTTGAAGATTGTCTACTGTTCAAATACTGTGTTTCCCCGAAAATAAGATCTACGTATAAAATAAGCCCTAGCAGGATTTCTAAGCATTTGTGCAATATAATCCCTACCCTGAAAATAAGACCTAGTGATGGGCGTGGCTACGCAGGGTAGCATCATATCCACACAACCCATGCATTTCCTCGAGGAGCGGTACAGAAGACGAGCAGTCCTTCTCATCTGCCCCATGAGCGCTCTATTGCTCAACACAAGAGATTGGGGCCAATGGTTCTAAAGGAAATAGGGTCGCAAGAAATTCAGGATGGAATTCGGGGTTTGGAGAGTTATGATGATGTTCCAGAAGAAGACGACTTAACTATATTTGAATAAATGTAGATTGTTGTACCGTACTTAAACAAAATAACACATCCCCTGAAAATAAGCCTTAGGGTGTCTTCTTGAGGAAAAATAAATATAAGACCCTGTCTTATTTTCGGGTAAACACGGTATAACCAACTAGTCTCAGTGCAAGAAAAGCGTATTTACCAGTCTATCCATAGGTAGGTGTATTGTTCACCACTTCTAGAAAAATAATTGAAACTTTATATCACACAGATGGTGGGTTATTAATATCTACCTCCTGAACAAAGACACATTATTTGGTGTTTACATTTAATATTTATTACTTTCCAATCATATATAGCTCCATGTTAAGGAGCTTATTTCTAGTTTTGCCCAGGAGAATTTTATAAAAGTCTGAGTTATGATAGGTGTGCATGGGATTGATCACTATTAGTTTCCTTAAGGCTGCTGTGCAGTTGGTCCCCTGTATCCATGGGTTCTGCATCTACAGATTCAACCAAGCATGGATTGAAAATATTTGGGAAAAAAACAATAAAAATAACAATGCAACAATAAAAAATAGAAATAAAAAACAACACACTATTACAACTATTTACATAGCACTTATATTAGGTATTATAAGTAATCTGTAGATGATTTAAAGTATACAGGAGGGTGTGTAGATTATAGGGAAATACTATGCCATTTTATATAAAGGACTTGAACATCTGTGGATTTTGGTATCTGTGAGGAGTCCTGGAACCAATCACCTATGGATACCAAGGGGTGACTGTACCACAAAGTACCATACACTGGTGGCTTAAAAATAACAGAAATTTATTATCTCACAGTTTGGAGTCTAGCAGTCCAAAATCAGGAGTCAGCAGAGCCATGCTCCCTCTGAAACCTGTAAGAGATTCCTTCCTTGCCTCTTCCTTGCTTCTGGTAGTTTGCCAGCAGTCTGTGGTGTTCCTTGGCTAGGAACCACAGCACTTCATTCAGTCTCTGCCTCCGTTATTACATGGTGTTCTCTCATGTGTCTGTGTCTCTGTTTTTCTCTCTTCTTATTAGGACATTAATCATATTGGATTAAGGGCCCACCCTACTTCTGTATGACCTCATCTTAACTAATTATGTCTGCAATGACCTATTTCCAAATAAAGTCATGTTCACAGGTATGGGGATTAGGATTTGCACATATCTTTTTGGGGCACATAATTTAACTCTAAATAGTGATTTGGACTATTATAGCAGTTTGCAACAGCCCCTCTAATAAGCAAAATGCAGAATAGCTGTTATAAACAAATGAAGAAATTTGACAAGAAAAAGTACCTCAAAGAATATAACAGCACAGAAATCAAATAATTCAGAGTATGTGTAAGATTTCATTGTGGAAAACTTATTTAAGAATAACTTATTTGGTTATGTCAAGGTATTCAGTAGATATGTTATTCAGATACATTTTTTTCTGCTGTGGAATTATGAAGCATTTCACCTTTTGGTTAAAAAATTTTCATACCTTCAGAAAAAAGTCTGAAGCTTGCTCTGTAGTAATTAAAGCTATTTGTCAAAACAGGTAGGTATTTTTTATTCAATACTATAAGTAAGGCCGGGCGCTGTGGCTCACGCCTGTAATCCTAGCTCTTGGGAGGCCGAGGCGGGCGGATTGCTCAAGGTCATGAGTTCAAAACCAGCCTGAGCAAGAGCGAGACCCCGTCTCTACTATAAACAGAAAGAAATTAATTGGCCAACTGATATATATATATAAAAAAATTAGCCGGGCATAGTGGCACATGCCTGTAGTCCCAGCTACTCGGGAGGCTGAGGCAGAAGGATCACTCGAGCCCAGGAGTTTGAGGTTGCTGTGAGCTAGGCTGACGCCATGGCACTCACTCTAGCCTGGACAACAAAGTGAGACTCTGTCTCAAAAAAAAAAAAAAATACTATAAGTAAGTAATCGAATCCTTCAACTCTTTACATTGATATAACTGACAATAATACTGTTGTTAAAACATAGCAGAGTTGCTGGGATGCTGCTCTGATTTGTCCACACTCTTGGAAAAACCATTCTTGGTTAACTCCTAGCTATTCAGTGCCATGCACAGCAGAGTACCGGCACAGCACCTGCTTTCTAGCAAATCTTGACAATCTGAATCTTGGACAAATAAATTGAAAAAGAGATACAGGAATTATTGAAAGAGAGAGCCAGTGAAAATCAACGTCAGACAAGTAAACACTTTTGTTTTAAATTTGCATTCCTCACTGGCCATTTTACTAATAACTCATGACTTGAGTAATCCTTTCTATTCCAGACAGGTGGCATGGGGATAAGCACTCTACCTCTGGTTTGGGTAGGTTCTAATCCCAGTTCTGCTGCTTATTAGCCATGTGACTACTTACCTTCTCTGAGCCTCTTGTTTTCTCAAGTGTGGTATGAAAATAGTGACAGTATTATGTTATGTGGTTGTGATAAGGAGAAATGAGAAAAAAGAAATCCCCACTCATGTGAAGTACTTGGTACAGAGCTAACCACTGTTGCCAATGATGTTAATTTATTATCAGTACTATTGAGGTGGTCCCAAATCTTTATTCTAGGCTTGACCTTCACACCCACCTTTCTGAGTGCCCGTTATATTTCTCCACCTAGATGTGCTGCTGCTACCTCAAGTTTAGTACGTTCCAAACTGAATGCATCAGATCTTGATCCTTCTCCAGTCTCCCCTTTGCCAGCCTCCTGTTTCTCCTCAGCTCCAAACCTTTGTGACAGCTTTAATTTTTCCTTTTCCCATGCAGCTTTTTGCCAAGTCTTGCAAATTCATCGCCCACAGCAACTCACCAGAATCCTTTCTTTCCCATCCCCTTGGCCCTGTGTTATATTCAAGTCCTCACTGCCTCTTGTTTCAGTGCCTTAACTGCCTTTTAATTAATCTGCCTGCCTCTAGTCTGTCCATTCTCTGTTAATTTTACGTGTTTTTACTAGATAAATCTTCCAAAGCTGATCTTGAGTCATATCACTCCCCTTCTCAAAAACCTCAGTGACCATGTGTTATCTTTGAATTAAAGTCTAAACTCCTTTGACTAATTAGGGTCCAAGGTGCTCCATAAACTAGCTCCAACCTACCTTTCCAACTGTATTCCCTTTGACTTACTGTTCATATACCTTCTTGGTGCTCACAGCTAGACGCTGAGCATCCTAAGAATAGGGAGTTTTTCATCTTTGCATTCTTAGTGCTTGGCACCAGTAGGTATTTATTACAATAAACCATAATTTAAATATAAGTGGAGTAATGAACATCTGAAATCTGAAATGCTCCAAAATATGAGGCTTTCTGAGCACTGACATGAAGCTCAAAGGAAATGCTCATTTGGAACATTTTGGATTTTAGGTTTTCAAATTTGGGATGCTCAACTGGTAAGTATTTAATGCAAATATTCCCAAATCCAAAAAAAAAAAAAAATTGGAAATCCAAAAACACTTCTGGTCTCAAACGTTTTGGATAAGGGACACTCAACCTGTAGTGAGTGAGAGAATGACTATCATTGCTTATGCTTCTTTTGCCTGAAATTCCTTGTGCTCTGGCTTTGCCTATCTTCATTCCTTCCTCCTGTGCTTCGGGGTTACTTCATGCTTGACCCCTTCCCTGATCCTTCCAGCTTGTAGCACCTGTTCCTTCCCCAGGACCCCTTCCTCAGTATTCTTTCTCTGACCCTCTCTCCTGGCACTTGCTACTCTCTGTTTTCCAGGGCTGTGTATGAACATGTCTTTTCAGTTGCACTAGCTTGTATGCTCCTCAACCACAGGACCTGGGTTTAAGTCACCTAGCACACTTTCTGACATCCATTCATTTAGCAATTATTTATTGAGCACCTATTCTGTGCTAGGCATATAGCAGTGAACAAACCAGACAAAGTTCCATTTTCTTAGAGTTTACATTCTAGTAGTGCTCAAGAATTACCTGTCTCATTTGTTCATTGACAAACATTGATCTGCTATGAGCCAGTCTTCATGCTAAGTGCTGGGGATACAAATGTGAAGAAAATGGTCTTTGTCTTCAGGGAGCTCATGGTGCAGCAGAGAGACAGCCACATGAATAAACAATTATGACATAGTATATTATTATGTGGTATTTCTCAACAGAGATACTGTTGATATTTTATGTGGGAAAATTCTTTGTTCTGCAGGCCTGTTCCCTGCAGAGTGAGTTTACACCCTCCCATTAGTCCCCCCCAAGTCATGTGACAACCAAAAATACCTCTACACTTTTCTAAATGCCCTCTACATGGGTAGTATCTACTTCTCTTACATTGAGAACCACTGTTAAGGAATAATTCCTTGGAACCATTTTGTTTCCATTAAGGTGGCCAAATGAAGGAGGGAATGATGAACTTGGCCTGGGGAATAGGGTTGGGGCAGGGGAGGGGAGGAGAGTCTTGAAGAGTGAGGTCGCTGAGGAAGGCATTAGGCCATGGCACAGATGGGAGGCAGTCAACAGCGTGCTACAGCTCAGGACCTCTCTGCTGGATAGCTGTGGCTACAGGAAAAGGTGCAGATATGAGGGCAGTGTATGGTGAACAACCGGAGAGAAATCCTGGGCTCTGTTGTGGAGGGCTTTATATGCCATGCTAACAGTGTTAGCCCAGATGCTGGAAGAAAGGAGGAACTAGTAAAAGGTTTGAATAGGCCAGAAGCATGAGATTGATGAGACTGTCCCCACAGTTGAGGGGGACACAGTCCCCGGGGAAGGCAGTAAGGGCCTGAATAGGCAGTAATGATGAAGCTTGTATCATTTGTCGAAGAGGGAACTGAATTATACCCTCAGAGTATAAGTACTTCTGTCACTACTTTATGATATGACTCTCTAGGAAATAGAAACTTCTAGGGGAGAAAGAAACACCTTAAAACCTCAGAAACCTGTGCATTGTAAATGCAGGTTGAGTATCTCTTATCTAAAATGCTTGGGACGGGAAGTGTTTCTGATTTTAGTATATTTGCATTATATTGCTGATTTAGCATTCCTAATCCAAAAATTCAAAATCCGAAATGCTCCTATGAGCATTTCCTTTGAGCGTCACGTCAGCAGTCAGAAAGTTTCGGATTTTGGTGTAGTTCGGATTTTTGGATTAAAGATATTCCACCTGTATTTAACTTAATCCATAGAATAATTTCAGTTCTCACCCTTCCTGGGAGCTCCTGTGCTCGGCTAAGGAGGCATAAACACGTGCTGGTAGTTGGCACGCTATGGTTCCCTGAAAATAGTAGTGTCTGTCAGGAGCACGGTAGGATGTCCAGTTGGGTAGGTATGCCATTGGGAGGACAGATAGGCCCTGAAGGAAGCCCAGGTTCCACAGAATGTGGGCCAGTTAAATGCTGATGATGCCCTCTGTGACCCTGCCTCTTGGGGCCCAGTCATGCACAGCTCCAAAGCCAGTCCTAGCACTTCACGCACAGTACACTGTTTGAGTTTTGAGGTGCATTACTCCTCTGCTAGACCACAGGCTCCTTGGTTATCCTGTCATTCCCCGAACCCAATGCTGTGCCTGGCTCATGATAGGCCCTCAGCAGAGGGTGGTTAATGAGCGCACTTCTCCCCTTTTCCCAATTTCATACTTTTTCAAATCATGCATGCTATTTGTTAGAATTATGGTAGATCTTCCCACTGAATGCGTTTCTCATACCTGCATTTTCTTTCCTTTGTTCTTTAGTTTTATGGTGATGAATTTTGTCCTGTTTTGGAAGCAACGTTTGTAATGGTGGCTCGTGATTCTGAAAATAAAGGGTAATTGCTGTTTTTCCATAATTCTTTATTTTGAAGAATGTCAAAGATACATAAAACTGGGGAGAAGATTATAATGTCTTATTATACCCATCACCTGGACTTAACATTTTTGCCATTTTTTGGTTTTATCTTGTTTTTTTTCTTTAAAGAAAATTTATAATATTTTAAAGTAAATCCCAGACATAATGATTTTTTACCCTTAAATACTTTAATGGAGGCATCTTTCTAAAAATGAGGATATTCTCTTAAATAACTATATTACTATTACTTTGGGAGGCCAAGGTGGGAGGGTCGCTTGAGGCCAGGAGTTCAAGATCAGCTTGAGCTACATAGTGAGACCCTGCCTCTACAAAAAATTAAAAAATTAGCTGAGCATAGTGGTGTACACCTGTAGTCCCAGCTACTCGGGAGGCTGAGGTGGAAGGATTGCTTGAGCTCAGGAGTTAGAGGTTGCAGTGAGTTATGATGACACCACTACACTCTAGCTCTGACAACATAGCAAGACTCTGTCTCAAAAACAAAAACCAAAACAAACAAAATGAATAAGGTCCACATATTACATTTGATTTTTATGTCTCTCATGTCTGTTTGTTTTTGGTAACAGCTATTTATTTATTTAATTTATTTTGAGACAGAGTCTCACTCTGTTGCCCAGGCTAGAGTGAGTGCCGTGGCATCAGCCTAGCTCACAGCAACCTCAAACTCCTGGGCTCAAGCAATCTTTGGAAGTTGCGTGACTAGGCTGACGCCCGGCACTCACTTAGCCTGGAAACAAACAGACCTCTGTCTCAAAAAAGAAATATAAAAAATAAAATATAAAAATAATAATAAAAAGCAAGAATGGGCTAGGCACAATGGCTCATTCCTGTAATCCAGCACTTGGAAGGCCAAGATGGAGGATCACTTGAGTCCAAGATCAGCCTGGACCAACATAGTGAGACCCTATCTCTATAAAAAAAAAATAAGAAAAATACCAGACATGGTGGTGCATGCCTGTACTGGGAGCCGAGGAGAGGATTACTTGGGACCAGAAGTTTGAGGCTGCAGTGAGCTACAATTGCACCACTGTACTCTAGCATGCATAACAGAGCAAGACCCTGTTTCTAAAAAAAATAATAATATAATAATAAAAGGCAAGAATGAAAACTGGTCCTTTCCTTTACAAACCAAATTGCCCTACTTGATAAGGAAAGCTTTTCTTCACAGAACTCCAGGTAATAAATGTAGAAGGAATGAAAGAACTTTAGAATCATTTTATACCCCCTAATGAAAATGATTAAAGTAACAATCAGCAGTGGATGTTAAAAGCATTGGAAAAAGACTGATGAGAAACTAGCTATTTGCAGGTGACAAATCAACCTGTAGATTGTTGCTGATTAGAAAAGGAAAAACTAAACTTCACAATGAGAGTTAGGCTGTCACTACTTGAACCCACACATCTATCTTAGCATCACTGTGAATAGGACAACCTGTACCTCCTGATATGATGCAATATGAGATACAATACAAAATACAGTGTCACCTAAGTAGTACTCTTGCCAAATATCTCAACCTGAATCTAATACAAGGCTTTAGATCTAATTCAATTTAAGAAAATGGGCCAAAAAAAAAAAAAAACACCATAAGGAAGCAATTAAAACAAATCCAGGAAGTGGAACACTGTATAGATCCAGTCCTTCACAACAAGTTGTTAATATGAAACAATAAGGGGTTAGTGAGGACACATAACTATTCTGGATAAAACAGATGTAAGAGGTTACACAACTCTGTGAATATATAAAAGCCATTATAGTGTACATTTTCAGTGGGAATTGTATGGTATGTGAATTAATATCTCAATAAAGCTGTTACTGGCCGGCCACCGGGGCTCACGCCTGTAATCCTAGCACTCTGGGAGGCCGAGGTGGGTGGATCGCTCAAGAATCAGGAGTTTGAAACCAGCCTGAGCAAGAGTGAACCCCGCTTCCTAAAAGTAGAAAAAAATTAATTGTCCAACTAAAATATATAGAAAAATATTTGCCAGGCATGTGGCTCATGCCTGATCCCAGCTACTTGGAGGCTGAGGCAGAAGGATGCTTGAGCCCAGGAGTTTGAGGTTGCTGTGAGCTAGGCTGATGCCACGGCACTCACTCTAGCCTGGCAACAGAGTGAGACTCTGTCTCAAAATAAATAAAAAAAAAATAAATGCTTTACCAAAAACAACAGACATGAAGACATAAAAATCAAATGTAATATGTGGACCTTATTCATTTTGTTTGTTTGGTTTGTTTTTGAGACAGAGTCTTGCTATGTTGTCAGAGCTAGAGTGTAGTGGTGTCATCATAACTCACTGCAACCTCTAACTCCTGAGCTCAAGCAATCCTTCCACCTCAGCCTCCGCGAGTAGCTGGGACTACAGGTGTAACACCACTATGCTAGCTTAATTTTTAATTTTTTGTAGAGGCAGGGTCTCAATGTACTCAAGCTGATCTTGAACTCCTGGCCTCAAGCGACCCTCCCACCTTGGCCTCCAAAGTAATAGTAATATATTATTTAAGAGAATATCCTCATTTTTAGAAAGATGCCTCCATTAAAGTATTTAAGGGTAAAAAATCATTATGTCTGGGATTTACTTTAAAATATTATAAATTTTTTAAAGAAAAAAAACAAGATAAACCAAAAATGGCAAAAATGTTAAGTCCAGGTGATGGGTATAATAAGACATTATAATCTTCTCCAGTTTATGTATCTTTGACATTCTTCAAAATAAAGAATTATGGAAAAACAGCAATTACCTTTATTTCAAATCACGAGCCACCATTACAAACGTGCTTCAAAACAGGACAAAATTCATCACCATAAAACTAAAGAACAAAGGAAAGAAAATGCAGGTATAGAAACGCATTCAGTGGGAAGATCTACCATAATTCTAACAAATAGCATGCATGATTTGAAAAAGTATGAAATGGGAAAAGGGGAGAAGTGCGCTCATTAACCACCCTCCTGAGGGCCTATCATGAGCAGGCACAGCATTGGGTTCGGGGAATGACAGGAAAACCAAGGAGCCGTGGTCTAGCAGAGGAGTAATGCACCTCAAAACTCAAACAGTGTACTGTGCGTGAAGTGCTAGGACTGGCTTTGGAGCTGTGCATGACTGGGCCCCAAGAGGCAGGGTCACAGAGGGCATCATCAGCATTTAACTGGCCCACATTCTGTGGAACCTGGCTTCCTTCAGGCCTATCTGTCCTCCCAATGGCATACCTACCCAACTGGACATCCTACGTGCTCCTGACAGACACTACTATTTTCAGGGAACCATAGCGTGCCAACTACCAGCACGTGTTATGCTCCTTAGCCGAGCACAGGAGCTCCCAGGAAGGGTGAGAACTGAAATTATTATATGATTAAGTTAAATACAGGTGGAATATCTTTAATCCAAAAATCCGAACTACACACAAAATCCGAAACTTTCTGACTGCTGACGTGACGCTCAAAGGAAATGCTCATAGGAGCATTTCGGATTTTGAATTTTTGGATTAGAATGCTAAATCACAATATAATGCAAATATACTAAAATCAGAAACACTTCCCGTCCCAAGCATTTTAGATAAGAGATACTCAACCTGCATTTACAATGCACAGGTTTCTGAGGTTTTAAGGTGTTTCTTTCTCCCCTAGAAGTTTCTATTTCCTAGAGAGTCATATCATAAAGTAGTGACAGAAGTATTATACTCTGAGGGTATAATTCAGTTCCCCTTCGACAAATGATACAAGCTTCATCATTACTGCCTATTCAGGCCCTTACTGCCTTCCCCGGGACTGTGTCCCCTCAACTGTGGGACAGTCTCATCAATCTCATGCTTCTGGCCTATTCAAACCTTTACTAGTTCCTCCTTTCTTCCAGCATCTGGGCTAACACTGTTAGCATGGCATATAAGCCCTCCACAACAGAGCCCAGGATTTCTCTCCGGTTGTTCACCATACACTGCCCTCATATCTGCACCTTTTCCTGTAGCCACAGCTATCCAGCAGAGAGGTCCTGAGCTGTAGCACGCTGTGACTGCCTCCATCTGTGCCATGGCCTAATGCCTTCCTCAGCGACCTCACTCTTCAAGACTCTCCTCCCCTCCTGCCCACCCCACCTATTCCCCAGGCCAAGTTCATCATTCCCTCTTCATTTGGCCACCTTAATGGAAACAAATGGTTCCAAGGAATTATCCTTAACAGTGTTCTCAATGTAAGAGAAGTAGATACTACCATGTAGAGGGCATTTAGAAAAGTGTAGAGGTATTTTTGGTTGTCACATGACTTGGGGGGACTAATGGAGGGTGTAAACTCACTCTGCAGGGAACAGGCCTGCAGAACAAGAATTTCCCACATAAAATATCAACAGTATCTCTGTTGAGAAATACCACATAATAATATACTATGTCATAATTGTTATTCATGTGGCTGTCTCTCTGCTGCACCATGAGCTCCCTGAAGACAAAGACCATTTTTTCACATTTGTATCCCAGCACTTAGCATGAAGACTGGCTCATAGCAGATCAATGTTTGTCAATGAAACAAATGAGACAGGTAATTCTTGAGCACTACTAGAATGTAAAACTCTAAGAAAATGGAACTTTGTCCTGGTTTGTTCACTGCTATATGCCTAGCACGAGAATAGGTGCTCAATAAATAATGTAAATGAATGGGATGTCAGAAAGTGTGCTAGGTGACTTAAACCCAGGTCCCTGTGGTTGAGGAGCTACAAGCTAGTGCAACTGAAAAGACATGTTCATACACAGCCTGGAAACAGAGAAGGCAAGTGCCAGGAGAGAGGGTCAGGAGAAAGAATACATGAGGAAGGGGTCCTGGGGAAGGAACAGGGCTACAAGCTGGAAGGATCAGGGAAGGGTCAAGCATGAAGTAACCCGAAGCACAGGAGGAAGGAATGAAGATAGGCAAAGCCAGAGCCACAAGGAATTTCAGGCAAAAGAAGCATAAGCAATGATATCATTCTCTCACTCACTACAGGT